ATTTGTTTTTAGGCTTTACCCCAAAAGACTTCATACCAATGGAAATATTTATCCATCTTTATAAACCAATGATCATCCCCACTTCTAACCAACGTGGGACATTGGTCGTATACCCAACACAAACAAGGGCTAAATACTTTCATTCTTGTTGATGAGATTCTTGGAATATCTTTGGTCCTTCTCAAGGCATCTTTAACAAATAGAAAAAAGTTACTTTTTCACATCATCAAGTTTGACCGAAATTGGGTGCTAAGTCAAATTTCAAGTGGATATTGTATCAAATTGATAGGTCAATTTTGGTATTGTGTCCTTCCTCTGTGAAGGTCTTCTCTCCGTCCTCAGGTGACGGTGGTTTTCCCTTCCTTTGGTATTTCCTCAGTGAAGGTTTGTGTCCTTCCTCTGTGAAGGTTTCCCCCCCTTCCCCCCTATTTTTACCTTTCCCGTTACCACTTACCCTAACCCTATTCCCTTGCGAGCTTGCCGGGGGGTGGGAGCTCCGGCTCCCACCTCTCCCTCTCCTCCATCCCTGTTTTTCCCCTCCTTTTTCCCTTTGTTTCTTCTGTTGCCTGTGGGCCGATGATTTGTGTAGGCCTGGTTGTGGGCGGTGCGGTGGTTTGGTCCGGTAGCCTGGGGTGGTTGTTTTCGCGGTGTTTTGGTCGGAGGTTTATGGCGGTCGGTGCTGGCGAAAATTTCTGCTGACGGGCTTGGCCGGAGGGCCCTTTTGGCTGGGTTCCAGCGTTGGCCGGGGTTGATTTTTGGGGGTGTGATGTGTGTGTGTTGTTGGGCTGGTGGTGGTTTGGGTCGATGGGCGGTGTTTTGCGGTGGTGTTGATTTGGGTTGATGGTGGTCTGTTTTAGTTGGTTTGTGTCTGTGTTGGTTTGGGGCTGATGGTGGTCTGTTTCTGTTGGTTTGTGTTGGGTGTTTTGTTGGTGTGGTCTTGTTGTTCGTCTTTGTTTTTGTGTTGGCGGGGCTTGTGGTTGCTAGTTCCTTTGGTGAGGTTCTTCCCTTGTTGAGAGTTCTCATTCTCTTCGGAGATGTTTGAAGACTTAGACAATGCCCGTTTGCGTGCGGGGGCGTTCAAGTGCAGTTTGCGATAGTTGGCTTAACGGCGGGGTTCTTGGTCTGTTAAGCCACAACTGTGTCTTCATTGCGGGCCATTTCCACATCACATTTTTTTCGGTGTCTCTTGTTGTTTGGGTGGTGATGTTTGGTGGTGTATTGATGTCGTTGTTGTTTGTTTGTCTTTGTTGTTGTTTTGTTTGGCTTAGATAGCACTTAAACTCTCTCAGGAGAGCACTGTGTTGGAGGTTTATCCTCCTTGTATCTGCTTAAAGCTTCTTCTATGGAATTTCATTTCATTTCAAAAAAAAATTTGATAGGTCAATTTTATTTATTTTATTTTTTATTTTACCATAAAATGAGTTCCTAACATTAACATCTATGATCATTGAGCATCCTAATACAATATTATCGATAAAAAATTTTAATTAAACATTAGGAATTCAAAAGAGAGGATCCTCTTAATATTTTTAATCTCAACCTTCATGTTAGAGTTCGTTCTCAACCTTAATTATAACTTTAGCCGATACCTAATACTAAAAAATTTGAAACGATACATCATACATGCTTTCTTGAAGGTCTAACAACGTTATTAATGAGTATAAAAAAGTTTCTCATAATGATAGAACTGTAATAAAAAGTTAAAAGATCAATTTACTATTGGGACAATAGTCAACACCAACTATGCAATTTCCTCCTTCTGGAAAAGGAGATATAATTTGTATGGACCGCCCAAATCATGGGATCGTGTCTGAAGCAATGGAATTACCTCATCAGCTTCAACCAATTTTCTTCCAGCAAATGACGATGTCCCATAGTCATTTTGTAGCCACAAAGATAGAATCGTTCTTTACATCATTTAGAGCATGTTTGATTCTCGTTAATTAGAAAAAAAATGAGTTTTGAATAGTATTTTTAGGAGAATGTGGAGTTAAAAAGTAGAAGTTTTTTTGGTACGTATATAATATTTTATTGTATGATTTTGTGTGGTTGGAAATGATCCATAGCAAACAATAAAATAAATTAATAGGCGTCAAACAGGTTATTACTTAGAAAAAGTGTTGCACATGCTGAACACGTTGAGAATAAAGGTGCTTCCAGTCTCTAGAATTATTTATTTATTTATTTTTCCATTTTTGTATATTAGTGGGGACGCATTTGATATGATAAAGATTTGAAATTCCATCTTGTATTATTTGAAATAGTTCAAGCCCTTGAACAATGCTAATTTGTTTTTATCATCAATCAATATAGAATATTACCCTTAACATTCCTCTCAAAATGGTGGCTCTTTTGAGTAAAACCAAATTTGAAATCTAAATACCCGTTTTAAGTTTTTAAATGGACCGAATTACTTGTTTTAACTTAGTGTGCGTTTGTCTTCCATTATTGTAGAAGAAATGGAATAATGAATAGTATTTTTTGGAGAATGTATGATTGGAATTTAAAATAATTTTATTGGTTTGTGTGTAAAATATGTTATTGAGTGAATGTGTGGTGGAGAATCTTAATATAATAAACAATATTTTGGAATAATAGAAGACAAACGAGACCTTAATAAGCTATAATAACTTAAAATTTCATTCTAAAAGGTTAACTTTGTTAAGAGAACTCAAACTTTCATATATTAATTATCTTGTTTCATCAACGCGGGACATTAACTTGATATGATCGTTACACGAGGCTTAGCAAGCCGAAGTTCCTTTTCTTTGGGCATAATGTTCATCTCAAATCTAAATCAAATTTTGAGCGAGAATATGGGCAAATTTAGGGTGTGTTTGTCTCCCATTATTGAGAGAAAAATAGAGTAATAAATATTATTTTTTGGAAAATGTGTGGTTGAAATTTAAAGTAATTTTATTGGTTTGTGTGTAGAATATTTTATTGGGTGAATGTGTGGTGAAGAATCTTACTGTAACAAACAATTTTTTGGAATAGTGGTAGACAAACAGGGACTTAAGTGCATAATTTCATTCAGTCTAATCAAATCCAACATACCATATACTAGACTAAGCATCTCACAACCACTTTTCTTTCATCAAATCCAGTCCAATTCAACATATCATAAATGACATTAGTGTGTACTAATAAACCATTAAAAAAAGAGACTAATTTCACTAGTTGGTATTAAAACATGACAATATGCACGGAATATCCAGCTTGATGCCATGTCAATTTAAGGCCCCTACCAATGACATGTAGATGTCCTCTCACTCGTGCATGTAGAACTTTGCTTTTGACCAAATTGAGGTTTGACGAATCCTATGCTTTTCTAGTGATGGAACGAAGGGACAGAGAAAAAAGGTGTATTTTGCGAATGTTCACATATATACTAGTCCCTTTAATTTAAGCTTTGACCACCCACTTCGCATATTCATATGATTCAGTATTAACATATTCACTTCAAACGGCCGCCATCCTAAGCATGCCTATGTTTTCCTAGGTATACACGTGTCAAATGATCGACAGTCAAAGTTGGACAGTATATCTCAACTCATCTTTGGTTGCCTATTTCCAATACAGGGTGCGCCTACAACATGCTAGCAATCACACAACAAAATTTCCGTCAAAAAAATATACAAGAAAATATATTTACCAAATCTGTTATCGTATGTTCGGTACTCAATATTATATACGATTGGACAGTAAAATAAACACTATTTTACTACTGTCCAATCCCGTTTCATACTGGGCACATTGTAATTTCGCTACTGCACAAAATACAGATGAGACATTGGTTTGACATTCCAAACAGAGTGGTGCTGGACCAGAATCCTTATATTCTTGAATGGATATCTTTTGCAGAGGCTATCTGAATGTGTAGGACCCACTTCAGTCAAAAGATAGTCCTGCTGAAATTCCCATACATTGCCAAGTCAATACTCCTCACAATTGGACCTGGTTCCCGCTGCTTGATTCAAGGATACACAAAGTGAAAAATGTAGAGAAGAATAATGGGAAAGAAATAAATTTGCCATGAAATACCTTATCTCCTGCAACACTTGCTTTTCCGAAAGGATACAGATAAAACCTCTGTTTCGAGAAAGATTTGAACTTTTAACCTCATGCAGTCTTTTTATCATATGTCGAACCATGGCTGTACATCAATATGAATTTTGTCCAATGAGTGACCACAATTTAATATGACCATCGTATTTATGCATAGCAAACACAAAAGATGTATGTTCAACTGAGAAGTAGGATAATTCTTCACTGTTGTTATAGTAATCTCGAAATTCCACCAAGAACTACATTAAGGGCACATTTGGCATGGGGCACATTTGGCATGGCCTTTCAAAAGTCAAAAGGCTTCTGAGATACAAAATCTGCTTTTGGACCCATTTGGTTAATTTTATAAAAGTATTTCTTCTACTTAAAAGAGCTCTAAGAAGAAATTTGTCCAACGTGACTTTCTATAAAAGTTCTTCTAAAAGAGAGAGCCCTTTTAAAAATTAATTTTCAGACACATATTAAGGCAACTACACTAGGAATCTATTCTACGAGAAGCAGAAGTAGAAGCAAAAGTCCTGCCAAACGGGCCCTAATAGGCTTACGAAAATGCACATGTTAGCCATATCCACCAAACAATATGTTATCAGCTGAATTCATGCATGTACCAAAAATGTAAAGATTTTCAAATTAGTGACTACATTACAATGAATAGTCAAACCAATTCTTCCAAATAAGCCCAAAAAAAAGTGGCATGAATGCTGCCACGTTTAGGTAAATCGATAGCAAGTTGGAAAATTCGGAATGTTAGAGAGGAGGCGGATATGATAAGACGTGGTAACAATGGAAATATTCTACTAGCTCATATTGTGGGCCCTAAAATAGATTGCCTCGAATTTTTTTTGCGATAGATTGGTGTGGGTGGTACTACAATGTGAATTCTAAATAGTCAACCAAGGATGGATAAAATAATGGCCTTGAGGAATCTTTCCATGCACTGTTTGAAAAGAAACAGTTCCCCAACAGCAAATATAAATACCTTCACATGTTCAATTCTTCCTCAAGTACTCCAAATTCTCACTCGAGTCTCTGAATCACTAGGAATACCATCAATCATGGACAACAGATATGAGTCTTCTGAAAGCCTAAGGTACACTTTTATCCACACAATGAAACCCATGCACTCGTGCATTCTCACATATATTTGTTATATAGGATGCATTACCCTAATACAGCACAATGTGCATATTGGTGGATGTTATATTATGCCTAATACGTTTTGTGAGCAGGAACAAGTGTGCTGCATGCTATAGACAATTCAACAAAATGGAGCATTTGGTTGAACACATGAGGACATCATATCATTCAGTGCATGAACCCATGTGTGGAATTTGTAAAAAGCATTGTCGGTCTTTTGAATCTCTAAGGGAGCATCTTATAGGTATTCTTAAAACTTCAAGAAGCTATATCATGTTCTTTGTCATTTAAGATTTGGTTTCTAACATCTTCGATTTTCTTATATAGGACCGTTACCCAAGGTAGAATGTGAAAGGATATTTAAGGAACGAGGGTGTGATCTTTGTTTAACCATCCTTAGTAGCCGTAATGCTCTCTATGTCCACCGAGAGAAATGCCAATTCTCACGCGGCAACAATATTGTAAAGATGCATAAACTAGAATATCTAACTATATTCTTTAAGCATTTCGGCATAGAATCAGCATAAAACAATTCTTGCTGGGTTTTCTTTTACAGGGTCTGACGTATCGAATGGCAAACTTAGGCATTCAGGATGATTTGAAGATCGATAATAATAGAGCAAAAGTGGTTTCACTTGCTTGCAAAATGGTCGGCGGCGGTAGTGATGGCTCCTTAGATCTCTGTGCAAGGGTTTGCCTCATTGATGAGTATGAGAAGATAATCTTTCATACATATGTGAAGCCAAATCTTCCTGTCACGAACTATAGGTAATGAAATATTTACAAAACAGTGGTAAATTATGTCATGAGTAAATTCTGACAGAACTTGAAATCTTGAAAACTTTTAGGTATGAAACAACAGGCATGAGACCAGAATTTTTAAGGGATGCTCTGCCGCTTAGGCAAGTGCAAAAAAAGATTCAAGATTACTTGTGTAATGGGGAGCCCATATGGCAGATCCGCTCCAGAGGTGGGAAGGCTAGGATCCTTGTAGGCCATGGATTAGATCATGATTTGAAAAGTCTAGAAGTAGAGTATCCACAGATGATGTTAAGGCAAGTTCTCTCAGCTGAACCAGCACACAAATAAATAATTTTGTGTCATAAATTGATACCCTCAATGACTTCAGTCTGAACCAGCACATGACTAAAGACTTCTATGTCATAAATTGTTGCCCACGGAGACTAGTTCCGATTTTCCACAAACAAAGAGTTATGCTGCTCATTTTTGTTTGCAATAAGAACAAAGAAAATAAAAAGTTTTGAAATGGCGTTGCCAATCTTAGAATTCTTTCTACAGGGACACAGCAAAATATCCTTCACTGATGAAAACAAGCAAGCTCAGCAACTCGCTGAAATATTTAACGAAAGCATACCTTGGGTAATAGCTTTGCCGCAATTTCTGTCACTTTTATTTTACTCATCATAATCCTGGGAGCATGACAAATTTTTCCTTTTACAGATATGACATTCAAATTGGTATTCAAGATCCCTATGAAGACTGTGTTGCAACAATGAGGCTGTACATGAGAATGAGATCCCTGCGTCATGAAGTGGAAGACTATCCGCTTGCTTCAGACCCACAAAATAGAAACAATTTTGCAGCATGGAGGCAAAGCGAGCTTGAGAAGATGGCTCCAGAAAAGATGTTGGATATCTCAAGGTCTGATTACTATTGCTGGTGCTTAGACTCTAGCAGCTAAGGAAGGAAGCAAATTGCAATTGAAGTACTTCTCTAACTTGGGGACACGTATTAGCATGACAACCAAACATGGAATTTTATGCCATCAACTAGACCAAGCTTTTCTTAACTTACTGCTAAGTTAAATTTAATTCACTTCAAGGATGATGTGTAGCATCATAAGCTATTTCTGCTAATCGGATTTCACTTTCTGAAGGCAATAGGATTGCATTAGAAATTATAATCTATTTCATGATATACATGATTGCATTATATCGGTTGTTACCTTAGAATTCTCAAGGTTGTATCAGTATCACTTAATGTTCAATAAAAGGTTTTCATAATACTATAGCTGTAACAAACAACAGCACTAATTCATAAGTTCACACTCATGAGATTGGTGATCCAAATGTAACAGTATTTATACAGCTTTGTGGTAAAATATTCCAGAAACTATATGCTGATTTTAAGTCTGTAATCTGTACTACTCCATTGAAACATGTAAGATTAAAGCGGTATTGAGATTGAAGATTGTTAACATATTCTACTTCATAGTTCCTTTAGATGATTGGGGAACCTTTAATTAGATCCAATTGCTTGAATTTGATTGGTTACACCATGAACCATATACACTTGGCTTTATTTTCAAACTGAAGCCCTAAACCTTAACACCACTAGGATGTTTGTTTCTGTTCAATGATCTCCACAGAATGTAAGAAAGGTGTGTATTTGTATGTTTTAATTTTCTTGGGCTAAGAGAAGGAATGAAAGAGAGAGAAGATATTGCATTTCAATATCTTGCTGGGAGGGGGAAAGAATCCTTATATTTCAAGCACAACACTTTATTTTATATGATTCGCAAATACAAAAGCAAACCTTTCAGCTTGAAAATGATGAAATTTTGTAAGAAAAAAGTTTTTCTTGGTTAAGAACTTGCAATTCTTTAGATGTCAAACCCTAATACAATAACTAGATAAAGAAATACAAAAAAATGTGCAATAGCCAACATCAAACCTTGGGAAAATGTATCATATCCTCGTTCACTTTTACAATTCTACTCTTCCTTGAAGAATGTTTCAGATCTCAATTCCAACCTTGTATAACATTTCTGACCTTTTCTCCCTCTAACTCTACACTAAACCATGAATGCACCATTTACTTATCTTTAAGAGAAATGAAATGCAGCAAGTTATAGATTTTAGGGGCATTATCAATTTGCGAGAATACATGAGCAACCTCCAACTCATTAGTATAACATTCTTTTCTCTGTCTCTCTCCTCCCATCTACAAATTTGTGTGATTTTAACATAGTTTCAAGTACCAAACAGAACATTATTTATGAAAATAGCATATAAAGTATAATAGCACAACATGACTCACATCCATAAAAGTATATAAACACAAAAACTTAACACATAGACAACAATCATAGGAAGATAAACCCATAGTGCCGTTTGCAACGCCACTGCCTGTGATCTCCGACTATCTTCTGATTCCATCCCATCTCCAATTTGTGTGATTTAAACATTTTTCTAGTACCAAATACAACACTGTTTATGCAAACTACTTATACGTATCGTAAACCCATGTATACACACACAAACGTAACGCATGGGCAAAATTTATAGGAAAAAGTGAAGTTTACCATGCAGTCTGTAATTCCAATGGCCTTGATCTCCGATATTTGCTGATTTCATAGAGGTCAATTTTCAATTGGGAAATTTGAATACCGAAAAATATAACAAATCACACCCCTCACGATCAGTGCGATTGTCTACCCTAAAAGCCATTCAAAACTCGAAGATACCGCAGTAATTTATACGTAAGGCACTGGCGATGGTCACGGTTCGATTTGGACGGTCAGGGTTATATTTTCAACCCAAACCATTTATGGCGGTTTGGAAAAAACATGGTTCGATTTGGACAGTCAGGGTTATATTTTCAACTCAAATTATTTAATATAATTTGAAATTTTTCCAAATCAAACCAAATCATTGTGGCTTGAATCGATTTTAATTCGCGGTTTACCTATCGAATAATCCATTTTTTTTTTCATACCAAACCATTATTTGCGGTTTGGTGTTGTTTTAATCCGCGGTTTACCTATCGACATTATAGTTATATGTTTAAAACAAGTTAACATATACATTTAAACAATAACTAATAATGTTAAGTGTTAAATTATATTCATATTTATCTAAAATTCGATATATAAATAAAAAGACAAAACAATAGTATCTAGTTATCATCTAGCAACAAGCACTCCAAATTTTACAAGCTATATTAGAATAAGTATAAGAGTACTAACATCTCATTTGATAAAAATTGGATCAATATCTCCTGTTGTAAAACATGATTCGGTCTCTGAATGATATGCAAATATCAAAATATTTATTAGTCCTTATTAATGATATTAACAAGCAAGTAAGAAACAATATGCATAAAATATCAAAATTGATAATAGAAAATAAATGTAAACTTCCACAGCTTTCTCATAGTCATCCAATGCTTCTACTTCATCCAAATATTGATGAAGCACTATATGTTCATTGCTGCTATATATTGTAACACATAATTCGACCTCTGTATGATATGCAAATATCAAAATATTTATTAGTTCTTAGTATCATTAACAAGCAACTAAAAAAAAATAGGCATAAAATATCAAAATTGATAATAGAAAATAAATTTGTATAGTTTACATTGCTTTCCAAAACAACGAATGTTTTTTTTAAAATTTCGTAGTAGCTTGCAACATCGAGTATGTAGAATTCCATTTAGTCGTGACATCTAAATACAACAAAACTCGAGACTCAATGTTTGCTTCCTTGAAACTCTCCTTGAATCTTTTTAGTCGTTCTGGGAAAGATCTAACAAATCTCACTGCATTACGACTAGCTGAAATAGCATGCCTTATTTCTTTCAAGCCATCATAAACAATAAGATTGCGTATATGAGCCCCACACCTCATATGAA